TGAGCGTCATGTCTTCTAGGAAGTGTGTTGGTGGTGGGCGTGAACGCAGGGAGGATCCATCACTCACCTTCTGGCTCACCCTATGATGGGGATGAAGTCTGGAGGAGAACTGACGGTTTCCTCCTGTGAACCCCTTTATACCAAAACGCTGCCAATACGCCATTATACAGTAGCTGGAAGTTAGAAACACGTTCAGCGCTCGTCTGGAACACGTCAGATACGCTGATATGCGTTGGAGAGAAGCTCTGGATAAGTTACGTAGAACTTAGTAAGAGGTATGGATAAACAAGACGCCACAACCGATGAGTAACTTAGACTGAACGTATGTCATCGATCAGATAACTGACATGAACTGACGGCCCACGGATGGTATACCCTTATATCTGACCCATAGCTAATCCAAGGTATGCCAGCGTTTTTGCCAGGTTTGTCGTACGTCAGACATTAGCTGGTCTAGATCATCAAGGTGTGACAGGAGCTTAAGTATTTTTTGAGTATCTTTTTGGTGGGTAATAATAACTTTCTCCTCTACTCTGTTTCCAGGAAGCTGTTTGGTCCTTTGTTCCTTTTGGTTCAGCTTAGCTTTATAATCCTCTGTTGCTGTACACTCACCGGCCACTTTATTAGGTACCCCATGCTAGTAACGGGTTGGACCCCCTTTTGCCTTCAGAACTGCCTCAATTCTTGGTGGCATAGATTCAACAAGGTGCTGGAAGCATTCCTCAGGGAGTTTGGTCCATATTGACATGATGGCATCACACAGTTGCAGCAGATTTGTTGGCTGCACATCCATGATGCGAATCTCCCGTTCCACCACATCCCAAAGATGCTCTATTGGATTGAGATCTGGTGACTGTTGAGGCCATTTGAGTACAGTGAACTCATTGTCATGTTCAAGAAACCAGTCTGAGATTATTCCAGCTTTATGACATGGCGCATTATCCTGCTGAAAGTAGCCATCAGAAGTTGGGTACATTGTGGTCATAAAGGGATGGACATGGTCAGCAACAATACTCAGGTAGGCTGTGGCGTTGCAACGATGCTCAATTGGTACCAAGGGGCCCAAAGAGTGCCAAGAAAATATTCCCCACACCATGACACCACCACCACCAGCCTGAACCGTTGATACAAGGCAGGATGGATCCATGCTTTCATGTTGTAGACGCCAAATTCTGACCCTACCATCCGAATGTCGCAGCAGAAATCCAGACTCATCAGACCAGGCAACATTTTTCCAATCTTCTATTGTCCAATTTCCATGAGCTTGTGCAAATTGTAGCCTCAGTTTCCTGTTTTTAGCTGAAAGGAGTGGCACCCGGTGTGGTCTTCTGCTGCTGTAGCCCATCTGCCTCAAAGTACCACGTACTGTGCGTTCAGAGATGCTCTTCTGCCCACCTTGGTTGTAACGGGTGGTTATTTGAGTCACTGTTGCCCTTTTATCAGCTCCAACCAGTCTGGCCATTCTCCTCTGACCTCTGGCATCAACAAGGCATTTCCGCCCACAGAACTGCCGCTCACTGGATGTTTTTTCTTTTTCGGACCATTCTCTGTAAACCCTAGAGATGGTTGTGCGTGAAAATCCCAGTAGATCAGCAGTTTCTGAAATACTCAGACCAGCCCTTCTGGCACCAACAATCATGCCACGTTCAAAGTCACTCAAATCACCTTTCTTCCCCATACTGATGCTCGGTTTGAACTGCAGGAGATTGTCTTGACCATGTCTACATGCCTAAATGCACTGAGTTGCCGCCATGTTATTGGCTGCTTAGAAATTAAGTGTTAACGAGCAGTTGGACAGGTGTACCTAATAAAGTGGCCGGTGAGTGTATATTTCATTCCATCATGGCAGATATCAGCCCTTAGGACTGAATCTGGACGCCACTGTTTTGGAGATTTAATGATATTCCACAGATGTGAGGAACTCAGGGCAGATATTAGTAGTTTATAGATTGTATTAAGGTGTTATTTGTTGCCATGTGGCCAAGTTGTTCAGTAGGATGAGTCTCAAAGCAGAGCTGTTGTTTCTATGTGGTAACAGATTCAACCTTAAACCTCTATTCTATAGTGAAAGAATGAGGAGAGTCAAGGCCCTCCTGTTTTCTTTTTGGTTTGTTTTTGAATAATAAATAATGATCAAAGTAGTTTTTTTTTGTATTTTTATGCTGAAGTTCTTCCCAGGTGGTGTAGAATCTATAGCAGGTGGTTCTACACAACATTACAAATGAGAACAGCAACTTTTAAACAGCGTCCACAGGGATATATAATACATCGATATAATCTGTGTCTCTGCTTCTGTCTCCTTGAACCCCAGTGGGCCTCGGCAGATGGCCGCTCACACTGAGCCTGGTTCTGCTGGAGGTTTCTTCCTGTTCAAAGGGAGTTTTTCCTCTCCACTGTCGCTACAAGCATGCTTAGTGTGAGGGATTGCTGAAGAGTCAATGAGTCGATGCAATCAGCTGGTTTTCCTTAGATAGAAAACTTTGAGTCAATCTGACTGGATGATCTGGTTGAACTGGAAAGTGACCTGAGATGACATGATGGGAATTGGAGCTATAGAAATACACTGAATAGAATTTCATCAGGTGGTTTCTGAAAGTTACAGTTTCTTTAAAATTACTCAGAAAATTACACAGAAATGTACATAGATCAGAAAATCTAATTCGTACTTTTGAATACTTTAGTATTTTCATAAGTGAGTACTTCAGTACTTTAACTTTTGTAGATGTTTGAGTTACTTTTACTTGTAATTGAGTAAGATTTGACTGTGTAGTATTAATACTGTTGCATACTTTGTCCATCACTGTTTGAAACGGACTACTTCTAGTAGACTAGTTTTTTTTTTTTTTTTTTTAGAAATGCCCCTTATTTTTGACGTCCCCTTATTAATTTTTTTTTTTTTACAATTTTTTATATTGCTTATATTGCTGATGTATTCAAAGTGGATAAATGTAAGATATCGAACTCTTGATGTCTTTATTAAGGAAAACTGAAAGAACAATTGGTTAAAACTAGTGTTGCACCGATACTGCCTTAAAGGAATAGTACACCCAAAACATGATTAGCCTTCATTTTCTACTCACCCCCATGCTGAACAACACTCTGGAGTACTTTTTTGATATCTCAAATGCATCTGGAGATCTGGGAGGCTTCTTGCTGTCTGCTGACATTCAAATAGTGGAGGTCTATGGCGCCCGAGGCAGAAAGGTCCATAAAAGTCCACAAAAAACGTGTTAATATTCCTCCATACTGCTCGTCCAATGTATTCCAAGTGTCCTGAGTGGGTAGCGTCCATAATTTACTCGAAAAGAAGTCATTTAGAATGTTTTTAGAGCATAAACAGTAGTGTATAGGATTTCCTAAATCCTATACACTACTGGGGGTGAAAGAAAATGAAGGCTAATCATGTTTTGGGTGTACTATTCCTTTAAAATGGTGGTATCGGTATCAGTATCGGCGAGTACCAGCCAATAGGCACAGATACCATTTTTAGAGCCATAAGTTTCTTCAACTATTGTCACACATTCCTGGTAGGCAATAAAAAGTTCTACTGGATTCACTTTTTCCTGCTTCAGCAGCAGCTTGACATGAAGCCATGATGGCAATTATTTTACATTATTATGGTATCGGTATCGGCCGATACTGCACAGCCAGGTATCGGGTATCGGTATCGGGGCCAAAAAATGGCATCGGCGCAACACTAGTTAAAACATTGTAGAGATGACACACGTTATACATTTTAAACCGAGCACTGTAAAGTTTTAGTAATAAATTAATTTAAAAGCATCTGAGCTACTATTTCCCCTGAAAGAACAAGTTTCTTATTTGAGTAACTAAAGTTTTACATCCTAAAAACTGATCTTAGTAAATCCCAGATCTAAATGGAGTCTAAAGGGCTGGTTATCCTCCTGCAGCAGTGTGTCACAGTTAGCTTGTTGCTGTAGTCTGAGCTGTTATTCCACGCCACAACGCAAGAGGAACTAGCTAGGATTGTGGGCGTCCGTGTGACGGTTTGACGAGCTCGTTCGCCATCTTCAATCCCTGATCCAACGCCGGACGACACACAGTTCACCCATGAGTGTTCCCCAAAGACGACTGGTCGTGGCGCTGCGTGTTTTGGCTTCAGGTGCAAACCAACAAACCGTCGCACAGAGCTACAAACTAGCGTCCTGCACGGTGTCTGGGTATCTGCGTTCACTGTGACACGCGCAGACGACTTGTTTTCTGAGCATAAACCAGGCTGTAGTTTATCTCTCCTATTGCATTTTCTAAAAGAGATAAATATCTTTATGATCAGATCTCCATTAAAAGCAGAAATCAGTAATAGCCAATAAATTACTATCAGTATTTTTCTGTTTTTGAACTTTGACTTTTTGTGTTTGTTTTAGACCCTGAATGTTTTCTTAGTTTGTGTTTCCTCCTTTAAACCCTTTAGGTTTTCCTCTGCCTCAGAGTGTCAGGATATAGATTCCTCCTGATAGAAGCTCAAAGGATGGGTTCCTATCCTCCTGTCAGTCCTCTGCTCTTATCATCTCCTCTTCTGTCGGCTTTTAAACCTTGATGCCTCCCATCTCGGCCCTTTTCTCTGTCAGCTTTACTTCCTTTCTCTGTCAGCTCATCTACGACTGTCCGGCTGCCAGAAGTCTGTCATTTCTTTCCACCCTGTTGTCTCTCAACTTCTGTCTTTCCTTCCGACTGTTTCCTTTGACGTCTTTCCAGACCTTTAGTTTTTTTATGTAATTTTTTTTTTTTCTTTTAATTCTAACCCTTTTCTCCTTATTGAATTATTCCTTTCAGGTTTGCCTTCCTATCCAGGCTTGTATTTGGTGATGCTCTTTATATTTCAATCAATGCAGAGGTGTGTGTGAAGTTTTGACTTGAAGGTTCTCAGAATTTGCAGCTTGTTTTCATCTTTACAGTAGAAGTTGGCAGAAACGTATTTAAAGGACCTTTATTTAGAGTGAAAAATGTGTAATTTCTTCTTTTTTTCTGTCTATTTGCAGGTCTTCTTTGACATGCCCTCACTGCCTTAAGCAAAGCAACACCTTTGATCCATTTTTATGCATCTCTCTGCCTATTCCCCTGCGACAGACCAGGTGACGTATAACATGAAACACAAGAAGCATCTTTAGAGACATGGTGGGACTTATGAAGGCTGTCAAATACAAAACCCATCCACTTATATATATCTCTATTAGTGTTCTGATCCTGATTTTATTCTTTTTTAGCTTTAACACAAACACACACATATATATATATATATATATATATATATATATATATATATATATATATGTGTATATATGTGTATGTATATATATGTATATGTATGTGTATATAGTGTCTAGAATTGGCAGAACTATTACAATGCAAAAATGATCTAGAAATAAGTCTAAATATCTTCAATTAAGTGTGTTTACCCTCAATTTGAGTTGGTAAATAAGATGATTTGGCAATGGAATAAGGATTTTTACTTTTAAAATATGGTAATTAGACAATATAAACTTGAAATAATGACAATGAAATAGTTTTTTTCTTTTTTTAATTGTAATTTTTCCTGTTCCATTAGCAAAGTATCGCCTGTACCTCCTCAATTCAAGAAAAAATGCACTTATTTTGAGAAAAAATTACTTCTTTTCAATTTTCCAATGTATATTCTCTAGTGCAGACTTCCAATTTGTAAATGCTTAAATAGCAAAAGATGTCTTCTATTGAGACATCTCCCTTTTAACCTTGTTTTGATGGGGGAGGGAACACTTAAATGTTTAGAAAGTGGAGGGAAAGGGCCCAGAGCTTCAGTCCTTGATGCAACGTTCCTGTTTTCAAATCCTTCGCTGTCTTTTCCCTCCCATCATTTCCAATCAATCTGCTTAGGAAATATAAACCACAGTTCAAAGAAGGTCAAAATATTTTTATTACTCAATAAATGAGCCTTAATCAGAGTTCGCCCTTTAAATTGCTCCAAATTGTGCAGCAATCTTGACCGAGGCCACACAGTTTGGCCGTATGATTTCCATAATGTGGAAAACAGGAACAGAGGTTCAACATTTTAATTCCTGTTAGCAAGGAATGATGCATGGATCATTATTTATACCTAAATCTAACATGTTTGTGGTGATTTAATGAATTTAACGTTAAATCAGTAAAAAATAAAGAATTTCTTGGCGTGATCACTGAGTCTGGGAGCGGCCATCTTTGCCCAAATATATTAGCCCCTCCCTCCTGCCATCTTCCAGCAGTGACGTCACGGTGCGGTAAGCCTAGCGCCATTCTCCCCGCTTTTCAAGCTAAATCAATGATATAAAAAAGAAAAAAACCATAAACATGTACATAAACAATAAATGTGCATTAATTTCTCACATTCAGTTCCTTAATTTGATTGCAGCAAATCCTCCAGGAATCCTCCTATCTGCAAACCTGAAGCTGCCACAGCTCTGCTTCCTCTCTGCATGGCTTCCTCTGACTTCACTCCTAACTCAGTTCTGCATTTCTCTGTTAGTTTAATCGTATTCCAGCACAGGAGGGAATTCTGTCTGCTCCAGTTTGGAGGTTACCAGCAGCACGCTGCCCAGTAGCAGGCTGCAGTGTCCTACTGCAGCAATATCCCCGCTGAATGTCTGATAAGTCAGAGACTTCCTGAAAGGACGTAGAACCGGGCTACCAGCATGGTGCCGAGGCTGGGGGCTGCAGATAATGCCAGCATGGTAGAGAGTGCAAGAAGGGGAAAATCAGAGTCTATCAATCAAAGCATCGGGATCATGTGATCTCAATCCTCCCTCATTTTTACAAATAGTTTAAAAAACAAAACTGAAAAGCTATTAAGGCGATTTACAGAAATGGCAAAGTTCAAAAGAGCAAAAAGTGTAACGGTTAATCATCTGCTGCCAGGAGCTGTGACCCACAAGAATAATAGAACAATAATAGGTCACCTGTCCTTTATGCAGGACATTGTGATATCTAGAAACACAAATTTTAATGGAAAAGATCGGTCATATTCTGAAAGTACTTTAAATATGAAATCATTACATACTGTTCAATAAACGATAAGTGCTTTTAATTAAGAGTAATTTTCATTTGAATGTGTAAGGCAATAGCCTAGTGAGACCATCCTGATCTCGCGAGCTTTCAAGGTTTCACTCGCAGATCAGTCTGGAGACTCTCCGTTAAAGAAAATTTGGAGCCGTTCACCAAACGAACGTCCAATCAGCGTTGGCTTTGAGGCGGGTTGAGGTGTGACGCAACGAGAAGCGCGACAGTTCAGTCTAAAGAACATGGCGGCTTCAGCCGATGAAACTAGCGTTAGCGTGGCTATCCAGCAAGTTTTATGGGAATTACAGAGTATTTCTTCACTGAAAGAAGAGCAAAACACTGCTCTGGAGGCTTTTCTCAGAGGAAAAGATGTTTCTGCTCTTCTCCCGACTGGTTTCGGCAAGAGTAGCCTGGCTTGTGGTTGTGTTTTCGTCGTGGCTCTGTTAGTACGTCATATGCTTCGTTGATCTGATTGGTTTATTTGGCCCGTCTATCACCAACATAGGCCAATCAGCTAACCAGTATTTTCGCCCCTTCCCAAAATTACTTCAACGGAAGGTTTCCAGATGGATATGCAGAGCAAATCCATCTGGCGGAGTCAGGTTAGTAAGGCAAGGCAGATTTATTTGTATAGCACAATTCAGTACAAAGACAATGCAAAGTGCTTTACATGATTAAAATACAGGAAGATAAAACAGAATCAAAGCATGTATGAAAAAATAAAAAAATGCAGAAACAAAAAAGAAGTTGGACTAAAGAAAATATGTATATTTTGTATTTGTATTCCAGCATCCAGCTGCCATGCACGTGGGCATTGTCAGTTTCACTATAGCTCTGGTGAATTTCAATGGTGAAGTCCTCTGGAAATCTTCAATAATTGTTGTTGATTGCAGATGTGTCTAGTAGTTCCCATTGATTTAGCTTGGAAAGCGGGGAGAATGGCGCTAGGCTTACCGCACCGTGACGTCACTGCTGGAAGATGGCAGGAGGGAGGGGCTACTATATTTGGGCAAAAATGGCCGCTCCCAGACCGCTTATTTTGAGTTAGAAAAGAACCCGCTAAAAAAGCCCTCCATTGCAGAAAAACATCCCATCCAGTAAATAGTATTTCATAGTTTAGAAACAGTCCCTTTTCACCCAGATTTATCTGTAGCTGTGTTTTATTTAGACGCTGCTGCAGAAAGTCGGCGTGTTTGTTGTGTGGGATGATATGGAAATGTTTCTTCATGCCAGCAGTCGGAGCATCTAAGAGTCAGATTTGTAAGACGACATCCCTATTTACTTCCAGCCATGGGCCTCATCCTGAAGTTAAGACATGCAAACAAAGCGGCGGCTCTGATTCCCTCCAGGCCGTCCTCCCTGTCAGCCCTGTGACTGCTAACACGGTGCTCACCTGAATAATGCATGATGGGAAAAAGGAATCGGAGGCGTCACAGATTTCACACTCTTCATCTGAAATGAAATAACATAATAAACTTGGCAGCTTTCCTCCCTGCTTTTCTATTATCCTCCTGACATTTTTACTCTCTTTTATTTCATGTTCTGATTGGTTCCTCCCCACTTTATTCTCATCCTTGGAGGTGCTGATGTTTTCTGTATGGAGGCTTCATTCTGGAATAATGCTTTTAATTATTTTACTGTGCCTGTCTAGTCAGGCATATAGGGATTTGGGATGATTTTAAATGTTTCTATGATTTAAAAAATATTCATATCCCTTTAGATTTTTTTGCATGTTTTTTCCTGTTACAACATCCTAAAAAATGTGTTAAAATCTAAAAAAAATTTAAAAAGTAAACAGATTTTGTCTTATGCTACGTTCAGACCACAGGCAGCAGAAGCAGCAACAACGCGCATGCTGCTTCATTTGCAATTTAGTTCTGAGGCGCAGCTGAAGCATCTTTGCTGCTCCAGGAGCGCGGTGGAAAAAATTAAGAATAGAAATGAATAATGATTGATGATGAAATGAGGAATTTGTACTTCAAAGTTAAATTACTGACGCTGGTTAAGATTCTCAGTTATCCAGGTCATAGTGAGACATAGACAGGTATGAGGATTCCAGGCTAACAAAAAAGCTAAACGACCCCCGTTCTAAAAGGGGGGTACCCGTCCATCCGTTTCTATTTGCATGTTTTCTAAACTAAAACCAGGCTTTGTTGGGCTGCTGGATAAAACCTGGAACTCAACGCTATTTCTGACATTTTGAATTGAAAAAGCTTCCTGGATGGAAGAGAAACGTCTTCAAACTTGGAAACAAAGTCCAGAGGATTGATTTTCCTTCTCAGAGTGGCTGGCTTTTTTTAACCTGACTCCGCCGGATGGGTTTGCTCCGCATATCCATCTGGAAACCTTCCGTTGAAGTAATTTTGGGAAGGGGCGAAAATACTGGTTAGCTGATTGGCCTATGTTGGTGATAGACGGGCCAAATAAACCAATCAGATCAACGAAGCATATGACGTACTAACAGAGCGACGACGAAGAGGAGCCAATTGATAGATCAAACTCTTGGTGAAACTAGTCGGGAGAAGAGCAAAAACATCTTTTCCTCTGAGAAAAGCCTCCAGAGCAGTGTTTTGCTCTTCTTTCAGTGAAGAAATACTCTGTAATTCCAATAAAACTTGCTCGATAGCCACGCTTACGCTAGTTTCATCGGCTGAAGCCGCCATGTTCTTTAGACTGAACTGTCGCGCTTCTCGTTGCGTCACACCTCAACCCGCCTCAAAGCCAACGCTGATTGGACGTTCGTTTGATGAACGGCTCCAAATTTTCTTCAACGGAGAGTCTCCAGACTGATTAGCGGGTGAAATCTTGAAAGCTTGCGAGATCAGGATGGTCTCACAAGGCTATATGTATGCGCCCAAAATTGAAAAAAATGCTTAGAGAGTTCAGCGTTTTAGGAGATTCTGGGACGTCAGGCAGACGCTGGAGAAATCAGCAAGGTGTCACAGGGCCCTAGGACAGACCACATCAGGAGATCCTTCCTGCTTTCAACCAGTTCACCCTGAAAAAAAGCAACCTCAAGTTTTTGATTTGATGAATTATTTTCAATGATATGGATTCCATTATTATGTTTTGTGAAAATAAATGGTCTTTAAAGTAAAAATCTGACCACTAAAGGATGCAGTTCCTGTATATTCTGTCCACACGGCAGAATCACATTTAGCTGTAATTACAGCTTTAAGTCACATCTACAGACTGATGGAGGAAATCATAGCTGTTTAAAATACACATCATGATTCTTACTTCAATAAAGGTTTTTGTAGACCACATGCATACTTTTTTCTTCTATGATTCTGGACTACCTTACATCGTACGGAGTGATTACACCGCTGCTGGTTTTCATCCCTGATGGTTCCTGCTTTTGAAATTGGGTTTGTCCACAGAGAAAAGCCGACCGTTGTTTTCCTGATTAAAGTCGTGTTTGATTAGATGCTGCATTCGTTTGTGAGGAAGCTGAGCCGAGCCTAAACGTGTCTTCAACAAACATGCTTTTATTTTTGCTGCCGCCGGCTCCCCTGGATCCCCAACAGATCCATTAATCTCTGTTTGGCATTGTGACGGGTCATAGTGGCTGGGAATGCTTTTCTAGATTATTCGGAATACCTTGTCCATGTCTGAATGCAAATATGTGACCTGCTCAGTGAGACAGGCCTGGAAATAAAGGTTCAGTAATTCAAACATATGGAGGTTCTGAACAGTTTGCTCTGCCTCCTCATTTATCTTACTCCCCACCGACACCTTCACCATGCACCCTCAGCCATACCTGCTATCTGTGTCATGTCTCTGTGCTTCTGTTCTGCCCCTCAGGCCAATGTGTGTCACGCTGGTGTTCAGCACTAAGGGTCAGAGGTACCTGCGGGTGGGGCTTGCTGTACCTCTCTGTGGTCCTGTAGCTTCCCTGAGAGCCATGGTGGCGGCAGAGGGCAACATCTCTCCTGATCAGGTACGCTGTGGTCGTCATCACTCACTTTCCTTCCTTCCTTTAAACAGAACATTTGAAAGTTTTTAAAATGTGTGCTGTCATGATTATATTAAAGGTCTGACCCAGAAATGCAGAAGACCAAACAGAGAGACCAGGGAAAAGTTTAAACAGGTTTATTAGCAATAAAGTGATGAAATCCAGTGCTGCTCAGAGTAGAATGAAGAAGGTGCCACTCTGATTTCCTGCAGTACCTGAACGGGCTGTGGTGCAGATGAAACCTTCGCTCGGTGTGAAGCTCAAATGACCTCTTGGGGAAAGTTGATCCAAACTTCCTGTTTGGAGTGAAAGGAAAAGCTGACTGCCACTCTGAATTCCTGCGGTACTTGAACGGGCTGTGGTGCAGAAGAAACCTTTGCTTGGTGTGAAGCTCAAACGACCTCTTGGTTGAAAGTGGATCCAAACTTCCTGTTTGGAACCCCAGCTCAGTTAGAAGCTCAGTTGAACCTTCCAGAGAGAGAAGGTCCGAACAAATCCAGTTTGCAGGATGAGTTCCTGTTGAGAGGCCAAGACAGAAAAAATGTTAAGACTCAGGTTGACAAAAACTCAGATTGACTCAGAAAAACTCAGCTTGGCTAGAGTATCCAAAACAGGCAAACAAAGACTCAGTTTAGACTCTGCTAAACTAAGCATGGCTAGAGTACCCAGTAGTGATGTTATGAGATGAGCCGAGGCTTCGAGGTGTGTGTCGAGTAATGGAGGGGGCGTTTCCCCGAAGCGCGTGTCGAGGCGTGATTCATTTAGAGGAGGGGCAAAAATTGATGACGTCCGAGGCCTCGCTACCGTGATGCCATGTGACCGCTTCGGTAAGTGGTTCAGGAAGCACAAGAATTTTGACAGGCATCTAAACAGCCTCAGTGTTCAGTCAAGATGTGGGAGTTTGGAGGAGAGCTGCTGTCAGCTGGATAAAGTTTGGATAGATTCTAATAATAGATTGGTTGTTTTTCCAACCAATCTAGTTGCTTAAAGCTAATTTGGTTTGAATAAACAATGTAATGATCAAAATCTGAGCAAACCACCAGACAAAGCCAGTGTTAACACGTCCGTGTTAAGAAGTATTTTCTCCCAAATCAGACTATCTACATGAGTGGCGTCCTCTGTAAGGGACAGGCTCTCACGCCAGAGGTTGATGGTTCAAGACCTATCTCTTCCTTTTGAAAGTTGCGATTAAACTTAATTATTTTGGCTGATGAGACTAATTTGCATTGTTTTGCCCGAGTCAAAATATAGATTGGGAAAATTAGGTCGGTTTAGTCAAAAGATTGGTTGAACACAACTTCCAACCTGATTAAAACCAAAAAACGTGGAAAAACTATCATGTTTGATTAAAAATGACTAACACCTTTCATTTTGTTCACTATTGCCCAATTTGCACAAACACTGTCACTGTCTGCTTGAGTTTATTTCACTAAAATGGCAGAAAAACTGTGCACCTTAAATGATTGTTCTAAGAAATTTTACACTTACAAAAGATTTTATTATACACACCAACCATTAACAATTTCAAGGGAACTTAAAAGGGGGAAAAAATAAAAACAATTGCAAAAAAAATCACAGATTTTATTACAAACTGTAGTTCTGCTGTCCACCAGTAGGTGGTGACATGTTCACATGGAGCCTCATGAACTGTGGGGATCGTTGAAGCAATTTGGCCAAACGGTTCAATGCCTCATGAGGCTTCATCTCACCATCACTAGAACCCAGTATTGGCAAAACAAAGACTCAGGTTAGACTCTGCTAAACTAAGCATGGCTAGAGTGCCCTGTACTGGCAAACACTCTGACGTCGAGGTAGTGGCAGTCAGCAGCTTAAGAACACTACACAGGTAATGAGGCAATGAGCTGCAGGTGTGCAGGGAGACCCAATGAGGACGGGGCACCACCTGCTGGAGGAGGAAAGGAAACACAAAAACAGACCAAACAAACTGGATTCCTGACACATGCTGTCCTCCTCACTGTGGTGCAGGTGATCCTGGCAGAACTTTACTCCACTGGTTTCGAGCGGTCTTTCTCAGACGACGACGACTTGACCGCCATCGCTGATAGCGACGTCGTCTACGCCTTCCAGGCTCCGCCCCTCAGCAGCAAAGGGGGCTCTGCTCCACACTCAGGTAACCCTGGGGGAAAAAAAATACTCTTTCTTAACTCCTCCTCAAACAACATTTTAAACTGTACTATTTAAAAGTTTTTCTGATTAACTTTCAGTCCCATTTAATGATGATTTCCTGTCTAACTGTTTTTTATTTCCATTGAGTCCATTTCTGTGATTACTCTGCCTTTTTTCCCCCAAATGCACACATTTTACTTTAGAGAATAAATAGCTCTCTTTCTCTTTGGTCATGCACTGCTGCATCCTAACAGATTACATTTAATTTAATGTCTAAATGGCTGCATCATTAAAAATATAAATTTTGCTGGAGTAAAGTCTCGCATGAAAGCCTGCTGATTACATTTATGAAACTAAAGATTGAATTTCTGAAGGTTTGGCTCCACGTTGGTTTCTATTTGACCCTAATCTGCTAAAAATCGTGATGCATCTGAATAATAAAGCTTTAAATGTTCCTAAAAGCCAGAAGTGAAGAAGAAATTAATGTTATGAGCAGTGGCGGTCTTAGCATGGATGGTACTGATGGGAAGACCCTCCTTTTACTCCTCCTCCTCTTCCACAGTCATGACCAAACACACATCAACTCCCCCTCTGCAGCTCATTCTTCACTGGCATCCTTTTTTATTGTGTTGCTATTTAGGAAAGGTTATGAAGAATGTGATCAGACAATCGTTGGGATGATTACTGAGCCAAAATTAATACTACCGGTACATAACCTACTTGGGTGAAACTGGGATTTTATTCTTTATATTTCAGTGGAAATGCTTCATTCAGGTCCCTGGAGCTCTGGGAAAGTAGCCCACCATGGCCCACATTTGAAAACAACCACTTGTTCTGAAAATCTCCAAATAATGACAAATTAAATATTATTTTGAATAGGCACTATATAATCTTAATTGAATGTAATTGAATATCAGCACGAATCATATGTACTTGATTACTTATTTCGTTGGATGGGGCGTCAGAAAACGCATATATATATATATATATATATATATATATATATATATATATGCCTGTTCCTTTAATATTAAATATTTTTCTAACAAATATTTTATGAAAAATAACTTCTACATCTATTTTTAATGGTCCAATAATAACACATTGCTTTATGATTGTCGATGTCAGACAAAGTCAGTTCCTTTGCTGTGTTGAGCCGCCGTCCTCGTCACTAATGTGGCCGATGTTGGATGAATACAGCCGTCTGCTACAGTGATGAGGTTTTGTGTTTCTGGGAAACAGCAGCCGTTGGATAGAAAATGCTTGAAAATCCATTAAGTTTCAAAGCCCACAGTTGTGTCCTATTTTGTCGTTAGTAACCGAGGCAATTTTCACATGTTAATAGAGCGATAAAGGAAGATTGGGGTAGCACTGGGTGCTTAAAAACCCTGGGAAGGTTTTCTTCTCTATTTTTTAATCAGTAGGATTTTAAATTCAGTCAGTGGAGAAGTCGAGCTTCTGCATAAGGAGGAAGATAGAGAAGCAACAAAAACCTCAGAACATCTCTTTAATTCTGCAGTTGCACTATTATGTTTTAAGAAAAAGGCATTGTCTCATATTTCTATTGAATGACGATGGATGAATTCACAACAATCCACTAAACAGTTTCTAAAAGCACAGCGTTAATGTTAAATAATCACCTTTAATTGAATCTAATCAAGAGGTGAGCAGGAATGTATAAAGTATTTCTCTAAGAGCACATTCTTGCATTTTCAGTAACATATTTACCAAACACCTCACTGGTCTTAGAATGCGGGGTTAATATTTAAAGAGTGATGCAACTAAGTGCAAAATCCCCCGAGCTATTTAAATAACTGCAGCTTTCTTGCTCTTATGTATTGTTTTCCTTTCATACATGGATGCGTTGGAGATGTTGTGGCGGCAGGTGATGCAATGTCATGTCACCTTATAGTGGATGAAGATTAATTTTAACAGAAAATTCCAGTCATAATAAAAATTCAAAATTCTGAAAGTTCTTTAAATCTGAAATGATTCCATCCTGTTCAATAAATGATCAGTGTTTTTAATTCAGAGTAATTTCCATGTGAATGTGCTTTACTGGAGGCATCCATGTTTGTCAAAGAACACTACTGCCACCTACTGGTTCGTGACGTCACGGTGCGGTATCGGCTGTTGATCAAGTCCCAGTGCTGTATCTGGTGTTTGTCACAATGCGCTATTATCCAAGTCATCTTGAAAACATTCTTCTTCCAAATGTTGGCTACATATTACGGGTTTTTTCTCTGGCCAGAAGTTCGATGGCAAATCCTCCCTCTTCACGTTGGCGATCCAACGACGACAGGGAATCCTTTTCGTTTCCAGGTCAGCTCCTGACATCACTCGGTCTGAAGAGATCATTTTAAATGTTGGAGGGCACTTCCCCATCGCTCCTATAACTATTGGGACACACTGTTTTACGCATGATTGCGAAAAAACCGAGTGCAAGTGAGAGAAATGGGACTGCTCCTAAATATTGGGCAAAAATGGACGCTCCTAGACTCATCGCAATGAAAATTATTATTTTTATTCTTTTTATAACTGAAGTTAAATTCATTAAATCACTGGAAACTAGGGATGCACGATATTGGGATTTTGGCCGATATCCGATATGCCGATATTTTAAAACTCATGTAGCCGATAACCGATATCGATACCGATGTTAAAGCTGGACAAAAATAAGTAGTCATTGAAAATAGCAGTTTTGTTATCCATTTCTGACACTTTGAAAAATAATATACTCCAATATATTTTCATATGCTGATATCAAATTGATTTTTAAAAACGCGGTATCGATCTATTTTACTTTCAAAATCTGGTGAAATTTCATCGTTCTGTTAAAAACTCTCGTGATATTTTGCAAATTCTTGTGAGATTTTGATAGTAAAATAGATCGATACCGCGTCAATATATCAACATATAAAAATATGGCAACATTTGGTGAATTTTCGGGGGATTTCGTAGCATAACGATGACATATAGCAATATTTCATTAGTAAAAGAGATTGATATGGTGTTTTTAAATGGCAATATATCAGCATATGAAGATATTGGGATATTTTAATGGATCAATATTTTTTCCCTCGTCTTTAGAAGTTTTTAAGTCTGTAAAAAAGAAGTTTTTGAGGAAGAAGTAGTATTTTTTTTTTTTTTTTTTAGACTCAGAAGCTGATCAAAAATCGGGTTGAATATCGGTGGGGGGGCCGATGTCCGATATTCAGTTTTAAGGCCGATACCGATAGGGGGCCGATTATATCCCTAATTTTTTCATGTAAATGTTTGTTGACTTAATAAAAGCATCGTGCAACACGTGTTATACTCTACAAGACATAATAGATTTTCCTAACAATCAACTTATACCAAACCGAACACTGTGACCACGAAACCGTGAAATTTCATCGTTCTGTTACAAACTCTCGTGATATTTTGCTAATTCTTGTGAGATTTTGTTAGTAAAATAGATCGATACCGCGTCAATATATCAACATATAAAAATATGGCAACATTTCATGAATTTTCTAGGGATTTCGTAGCATAACGATGACATATAGCAATATTTCATTAGTGAAAGAGATTGATATGGTGTTTTTAAATGGCAATATATCAGCATAGGAAGATATTGGGATATTTTAATGGATCAATATTTTTTCCCTCGTCTTTAGAAGTTTTTAAGTCTGTAAAAAAGAAGTTTTTGAGGAAGAAGAAGAAGTAGTATTTTTTTTTTTTTTAGACTTTAGAAACTCAGAAGCTGATCAAATATCGGGTTAAATATCGGTGGGGTGGCCGATGTCCGATACCGATAGGGGGCCGATTATATCGTGCATCCCTACTGGAAACGTTATTAGTTTTAGGTATAAATAATGATCCATTGATTATTCCTTGCTGAGCGGACTTTACCTTTAAACTAGTTAGACTGCCCTCCCCAGGTTCACTGCTTATACTGTAGTTTTTTCACTGATGCTCTATTGGCTATAGCAGCTATTGCTAACAGGATGCTAAAATATTTTTTCACTATCTATATATGCTTCTTTTGCTGGGTCAACCCTGAAGATATAACCCTGGTGTAAAGTAAAAAGCAATCAATGTAAAGCATGATTTATTGTTATTTTTATTGCTTATTATTATTTATTGTGTAAATTACTGTCCCCTCAAAGTAAACCACACACACAGAAAATTAAGTACTTATTGGGAATGTAGAAATTGTTCTCAAAAAGACATTTTTCCTTTCTGTTGTCCCAAATTGTCAATGTTATAAGGTCTCAGGGGTGAATGAGAAGCAGGTGCGTTGCATCTGGGGTTACCACACTCAGGCTCTCTCTCATGCTCGACGCAGGAAGTTCAATATGGAACCTCAGGGCAAATTAGTACAGATTTCTATGGTCTGCACTGATTGCTTTAAATTGTATGACAGTATTGAACTTAGAATGTTGCGCCATAAGATGTTCCCACAAAATATGTTCCAAAAGCGACGAATTTACCAATAGGCAATAGAGACTGACACAGGAGTGGATTTTCACTCCTGTCCCGTCCCACTCCCACAGAAAAAAATGGTGTCCCGTCCCGATCCCCGGGCCAGAGTAGAAATCTAAATCCTGTCCCGTCCCACTCCTGGTGAAATTACTCCCACTCCCATCCCGCTCCCATTCAGAATGACTCCCGCTCCCGCACCACTCTCATTCTTGTTGTTTTTGAGCGCGGATGAAAAACTCAGAGCGGAAGTTACTATTGGTTTGCTCCCGTTAATGTTTAATCCTGTACCGTCCCGATCCCGTGATCGTTACTAATACTGACTCCCATCCCACGGGAATCCCACGGGAATCCCGTGACCCGTGGGATTCCCGAAAAAATGTCAGTCTCTAATAGGCAATACTAGGCAGTTGCCTAGGGCTCTGCTTACATGTATGGTTAATACAACTATTCCTTATTTGTGTACATTATGTTTTTTAAACCCCCCCCCTTCAGTGTCCACCATATTGGATCAGTCCATTTGCTGCAAATGTTCAGAAA